TTTTCATCCTCCATCACCACAGGGTGCTATCAATATCACAGAAAGCATTCATTTTGTCACAGATAAAGAATGAATTTTGTTCATCCCCTCAAAGCCCAATTTTCCTCCAGTTGAGGGAATGGGGGGAAAAATACAAAAACCAAACGCCACCTACCCTTCTCTAGACCTTGGATGGATGAGAATATGGATTTATAAAATACCTGCCTACATCCAGTCAATAAAACTCATTTTAAGAATGATGCCCACATACACGATTAACCGTCAGGTGAGAATCTGGGCAGGGAGGGGCTCCAGCACCAGCTTCTGGAGGCTTTGTTTCATTCTCTCTTTCTAACTCAGCTCTTAATTTGTTTCTCTCTTTTTACAAATGGACACATGCACAAAACCTGAACAAAATGAGGACATCTTACAAAACATTAGAAAGAACAAGACTTCGGTGTGTATGTGTGTGTGTGGGGGTGATGAAAGCCACACCGCAGCCATTCCAGCTCACACGTGTGCGTCATAGACATTCCAGCTCACACTCGTGTGCGTCCCGAGGAAGGCTTTCTCTCCTCCAGCACAGCACCCTGCATTCCATACTGAGGGTCACGGTTTCCTTTTGAATCCCCAGCTTAGGTTGCGATGTGTTGCCACTTGATGCTATTTAGACAGCTTTCTTTTCGCACGCAGACAGTGAACTGGCCTCGTTTAAACAGGCTGTTACTCCACAAGAGTGCATTCCCTCAGATCTGAAGCTCTACTAACCGTACTACAACGGCATCACACTCCGTTCTAATCTACCGTGGTGTAAATCTGGGCAATGCACCTATGTGGAGTTTGCAAGATGTCAGGGGGTGGGAGAAGGTGGATGGAGCACAGACAGACTTTAGGGTCATACAGCTCAGCAGATTTAAAAGGCACAACTGTTCTCTGCACAACATCTAAGAGAGCAGAGCTCTGAATTCTACCATGCTAACATAATTATTTTCTGTTTTAAACATTTAGCTGCATGTTGCTGTACCCTTGCTGGGTCTCAGAATGAAAGCGAGCAAACTAAGAGCCCTACTGTATGTTCTTCATTCCCAGCAATGTTCCTATGAGAAAACCTTATTAATGAGCTTGCAAACGAGCACCCAACAGGGAAATGTCACAAACAAGAGCGGCTAATGCCCCAGAAAATCAAATAACTGAACACTTGGCTGATTGTGGTGCCTTTCATATTTATAATAAAAAAGAGGAGGGGGGATTTTAATTCACTGATTCTGGAGGGGTCAACACCTTGCTGAACAAAACAACTCATTTATTTATGTTCAGAAATCTCCAGATGATAAATTACATTGATGTTAATCACTTCAATGCATACTACACAATTAATATCTGTACTCACCAAAATTTAAGGGTTATTAAAAGTATGACAGCATACACATCTGGCTGGTTTTTCACATAATTGGGCACAACAATTTCTCTTGGTACCACAAATAGAGGTACTAACAAACAAACACTACAAAATACTGGTTCAATTAATTAGGACTTGAATCCACTAGACAAAAGCAATGCCAAGCTGTAGCTCAAACCTTGTCCAGTCTGTTACATGGAGACACTCCATCTTAAGGGGAGAAGTACTCGGCTTCTTTTCTTTTTATTGCCCCTTCCTCTGTCATGCTTCAAGTCAGATAGCCAATGGCCTTGAAGTGAAGGTTGTTATTTCATTTTCCTGTGACCGTCACTTGTAAAACACAAACTAACTCATATGGAAGTCTACCGTCAGTCCCAGAGTTCTGCTCATATCCTCGTTGATATTCATTTATCTTAGATGGAGCAGAGGGGTCATCCCATAAACCTTTATTGTCCAAAACTGGCCAAGATGAAAGCAACTGAGAATCCTTACACTGTGCTGATCTACTTGCCCCCTGGGTCTTAGCTACTCAGAGGAGAAAGTGAGGGCTGTAAAGAGATCAGTATTTCCTGGTAACTAACTGTTGATCCTGATGAGAGTTTGAAGAAACCTTAGCTTACAAAGGACAGGACATTAAAAAGAACATGGTGTATTTGAAAATTTTACATGAAAACACATAATGAATAAAATACGAGTTTTACAGCTATAAATACACAAATCATATTTAGATTAAAGCAATAAAGTGGAAAATAGGTCTTATCAGTGGTTGAAGAAATTAGCAAAACTTTAATGGGTAAATGAACTCCTTATATTACAAGCAAAAAGTGGTAACTGAGTTTATTTTCTTCCCAGGTCTATTGTTCTCAAAGGACTTTTTAGGCATTAGTGATGACATCAAGGTGATAACTTCAGGGGTTTGACTCAATTTAAAAATAGGGGGGAGAAGTGTACTGCTGTTCCATGAGGGTGTCCACAAGAGTTCGGTGTCTACATAGATTGCTTTTGGGGCAACTCTTCTAAGAATCCTGTCCCTTTCCTCCAGGTCATCCACATGTCTGCCTGCCTGAGAGAATGGATTGTGCTATGAAGGAATAGAGCTGAGCTACCCACACTGATCCACAGCTAAGACTTAGGGTCTAATGCACTTGAGCCTGAGGCTTGGGGACAGGAGTCCTTTGCTACAGAATAGCTACTGGTGTTTAAGCAGACTCAGGATGGTTGGGAATGATGCAGAGAATCCCAACTGTGTTTAAAGACACTGGAGACTTCCTGGCTGACTTCATAAGGGTCAGTATAGCTCTGGGAATGGAATGATGCACACAGATTGAAGAGCCAGGGCACTTTGTTAAGTTTGGAGAGTCTTACTTGAGATTACAAACCAGACACGTAATGCCCTTTCAGAATTACATAAAGCTCTGCAATTCTTAACCTTCCTTTTTACAAGAAGTTTCTTCATCTACATATATTGTTTTTTTATAAAAGCATCAAGGAATACATTGTTTACATAACTTAAGCTGAGGGAAGAGGAGAGTCAACTACAAAAGGCTGCCGTGATAAAGGTATGAGCTGATCAGTAGCTGCAGACTCATTTTTGGGAGGTGTTACTGTCACTCTCCTGAAGGGAGGAGCCCACAGTACTTTGTTAGATTGGAGCCAAATGGATTCAGATACGGAGCCGTATTCATTTTCTTGGAAGGACAAATCCCTCTTGAATCTACAGAAAATGAACACAAGGCTAGGAATCATGATCACATGTTCCAGGGGTAGGAGGTGTACAGCTTGAAATAGATAGCCTGCAGTTGGCAGTGAGAGTGATTCTGTAGGTGGGAGGGGCTACCCTCTATTTAAAAGATACTCCGGGAAACTACTTAAAGGGCTTAGGGGTGGAAACTGGGTGGATATCCACTCAGGACTCACGAAAGAGCTAATGTATTATTAAAGCTAATGGGCCCCTACAAGGAACGTTAATGGATATTAAGTTTGCTTAAATGAATTACATATTAACAAAGTCACAAGAAATCTAGTATCTGCCAATTTAGATAATATCTGATCATTTCTGTTTTCCCATTATAGGGGCATTACACCACAATAGTTTTAGTGATATGAAAATTATAAGCATGATGCTCATAATGAAGCCATATAATGAAGTAGAGGAAATGAATTAACAAGAAAAACCTGCATTCTCTAATGTAAATTGAGCCATGCTCGCAGGGCAAGACGACGTTGGATAAGATGGTCTCTTATGAGTTTATAAATTTCCCTACATCTTGACATTTTTTTTTGTTTTTTGAGACAGGCTTTCTCAGTAGTTATGGAGCCAGTCCTGGAACTCGCTTGGTAGACCAGGCTGGCCTCAAACTCACAGAGTTTTGCCTGCCTCTGTCTTCCAAGTGCTGGCATTAAAGATGTGCACCACCACCACCCGGCTACTTGGACAATTTAAACAGACAATAAGGAATGTATCAACTAAAAATATATCTTCCAAAGGCAATTTCAAACCCCACAAACCCGTGAATATGATCTAATTTGGAAAAAAGAATCTCTGCACATGCAATCTTAAATACCTCAAGATGAGACCACTCTGGATTATCTGGGTGGGCCCTAAATTCAGTTACAGTGTGCCCCTGTATGATACACAATGATAAGAACACCCCTTGAGTGATGGTTGTAGGCCATTGAGCCCTAAGCCCTTGTGGGGAATTCACAGCACATTTGTCCTGAAGAGGCATGAAGAACCTTCTCTAAGGCCTTTGAAAGGAAGGTGGCCAAACTGAAATCTTGATTTTGCTCCACTGGCACCTAGAATTGTGAGTGAATTTCTGTGGTTTTAGGCCCAGTCTGTGGTGCTATCGTTTGCTTCAGTGGCCCTAGGACACTAGACAAGAATTCCCAGAGCTGCTAATGTATTTCTTCCATCAGATCTCTAATCCACTACACATGTTCCACTGTACCCTAGACTTTCCAGGCCAGACTACAGAAGTCTTGACGAAAAGGGAGAGAAGATGGCAACTTGGTCACAACCTTGGCTGGAACATGGCTTTGGGCAGAAAGAAGATCCCCCATCTGAAGCAGAAGGGTTTGGAGGAGAAGATGAGGAAGACCTCTTTGGTTGATAGGGAATGGTTAGGGACAGTCTCACTCACTACAGTGTAGCATTATGGATGAAGCCATCACGACATGGTGCCAAGCCCAAAGAGTTCAACTTTCAACACTTTGTTCTAATTAAGGATAAGTAGAATAGAACTTGCAATTTAGAACAGAATATTGGTACGAAATGGGATTAAAAATAAACATCCAGTGTCTCTGGTGGACTAGAAGGGGAAGGAGGCTCATCTGACTTAGTTGACTTAAAAGTGATGACAGTCAACACTGAAAGAGGCTGATTTTAAGTCACACGCTAAAGCAGATTGACACCATTTTACCTCCACATTTGAGTTGGCTGCAATTCTTCACAATCTCATTGGCACTTGATAATACAATAGCATTTCAGCAAAATGATCCTTAGATTATTTTTCTCCCAAGACAACAGAGGGACACTTATAAAATGGACGTATACTTCCAATGAATGACTCCTGAGAAGCTTTTAAGCACTGGCCTCAAAACAAGATGCTTGGCTACTCACACTGCACTTCCAGATACCGCTGGGTCTGCAGGTTTCCAGTGACCGCAGGGTGCTCCACCTGACAGATCACTGGGACCCCATCATCCTCCTTGTGCACTGTCAGCATCAGCTGACTGGTCACAGTGTACATGTCCGACCACTCTTCCACCTCCGATTTGCCTGCAGGAGACAAAATATATCAAGATCTTCTTCCTTCTCCCCAACCCCAAGAGTATTATTCTACCTAAGATGATGGTACTGTTATATTGCTGGTCATGGTAACTTGTGGCTAGGGACCCCATAAAATGATTATTTTCCTTAGTTTCTTTCTTTTCAGCCATGTATAACAGAACTTCAGATAGATTCCAAACATAAATAACACATATTACTTTTATTCAAATATATTATGTATATTTCTCTCTTCGAACCTCCTGCCAAGTCAGTTCCAAGTTCAACCACTTTGACATCTGGCTGCTTGTGGTTTTGGGAGGAGGAAGGAAAAAGGCTTTGCACTGCTACAATCATTGAACTTCAAATATCTACAAGGCTGTTATGCCTCTGAAAAATCCCAGGGCATCATCCAAATCCCCTAAGCAATTCAATCAGTAGCAAAGATATAAACAACCCCCTTTGCCCATCCCATCATCAACAATTAAGAGGGAAAGTAAGTAAATGGATTTACATAATTGAAATTGTAATTGAAATGTTTAAATTCGAAGACTTCTAGAAGAACACGAAAAATGCAGTGGCAGTGGACTAGAGCAAAGTAAGATATAGGGCTTTGGGCCAGATGGGAGACACATCCAAGAACACCCAGAAAAGGAGGGAGGAGGCTTCCGGAGGGAATGAATAGGCCTAGGCAGTCCCTTCCTGAACCCAGCACTCCCAGGAGCAAGGCACACCATTAACTTTCTTTGAATGTTTTGTACTTATCGGTCCACATTTAATGGCTCAATTCACTTAGACAGAGGGGAAGAGGGGAAATGAGAACCTCTTTCCTTCTAAAACCATACTTAGGAAATAGGAGATTTAAACAGAACAAGCTTTCGGAAACTTGCTGTTCTCTACAGAATTCTCTGTTTCTGGATATAGCATTCCATATCACCTTCCTAAAAGGGCTATTTTCTTCCTCACACTGTTTATTTATTTAATGAGCACACATATAGCACTTATTCTGTCTCGGGTACTTCCTTAATGCGTTGTAAATATTCACTCATTTCATCTTCATAATACCCTATTATTATTGTTCCCATTTTCACAGGAAACTGTGGCACACAGCTAGTATTTCTGTTAAGTAGAGGTGAACTCCAGAGTCCTTTGCCCAGGCACTACTTTTAGGGCAAGCTAGAAAAGAGAGACAGCTAAATACTGACAGGTATGAGAGACAGAATAAGCAACAGAAAATGGTCAAACAGGAGCAGGGCTTTAGGAGCTGCCTGCAGTGTCACCCCAAATCAGAGTCTTCGCAAAAGAATGGGCTGGCAAATCAGGCAACGGAATCACAGGTTCGCCAAAAAGGTAGGTAGACCTTGCAAATTCATAATGAACTTAAGCTCTTGGTCTGCGATGCCACCAATCTTCTGGGCAAACACACACCAACTATGGTGCATGGCAGAATGACTCGGGATTTTAAACAACGCATGCCATGGAAATGTGGGGCTCTGAACCATTAAGTCAGCACAAAGCGGAGGATAAACGCAGTGACACCTGAGATACAGACAGGGACAGCCTCGGACTGCGGGTTATCCCTAGCACAAGCTCCTCCTTGTTTGAAGAGCTCAAGTTTACGTGTTTGGTTCAATACCAACTCTCAAACCACAGAGGGAGGCAATGGACGAAAACAATGAAAGTCATTCTCTTCTGGCCTCAGATGCTTTTGCTAATTGATTAGAAACCATATCTGAATAAACAATTTTGTTGCAGGGGCCTTTGTCTATCCTTTTCACAAAGGTCTGCTTGCTAGAGCCGAGTGCCAGCTAACCGCTTCACTCTTGGGCAGTCTGCATTGTACCTTTGAGCTCCTTGTTCCCTTTGAACCATCTGATGGTGGTGGCTGGCTTGCTGGCCATGGCGGTGCAGTTGACTTCAATCTCCTCCCCTTCAACTGCAGTGTCCTTCTGGATATCGATCATCAGGTTACGCGGAGGGACTACAAATCAAACATACATGCTTTATAAACACAGGACCCACTTACGGATAGATTCATCTGCTCACTGGGAAGCAGCATTGTTGTCACCAACAAAGAGGCAGACATTGGACATTGCTGATGGGATCACATCCCAATGGCAAAATAAACAGCCAGAGGAGGGGAAGGAACTAGATAGACAATGTCATGTAAATGAATCATGTGTAATCTGTTAATTCAGAATGTTTTTCTAAATGTATCCTATTTAGTAACCAGTGGTCAGTCTCCAATTCCTGAATCATCACTGACCTAAGATTAGTAATCCCGGTATTAGTCATTAGAAAATGGGTAAGGAAATAGATATAAAATCAAGGAGTACACACTACTGAAATTAATGGCCTTACCTGGAAGCCCCTGAAAGCAATAATTCTCCTTGAACTCAACCCTTGAATTTCAATCTTCATAGGAAAGACTTCAAAGTCTACTAACAAAGATAAAAAGCTTGGGGTTCCTTAGAAAATTCACTCACCACAAACACACACAGAAAAAGTATGCTTCAGAACCAGTACCACCGAACCAAAGAGATGCGTATAAGATGTACTCCTGTCCTCCAGTGCAGGGAGTGCCATTAAAAGAAAGGTTTGGCAGTATAGGGAGTGCCAGGCATTTACCATATTCCTAATTCTAATGCTCAGATCTTGGAAACCAAAGGTGAAAGAAATCCCTAAATGCTTGAAAGACACTCAGATATCAGAATTAAAACCACTTTTCTATAAGCATATTAAATATCTCTGTAATAAAATAGTCAAAACAAAAGCCTTGAGGGCTGACATACTGAATAGCACATCAAGAGTGTGTGCATGACAGGAGTGACGATGATGACGGGAGTTATCTTTTTTTTTCTAAAATGAAACGGAGTTGACAGTGCAGCTTCATATAACGTGCGGTCCTACCTCAAGACTGAGCCTCCTGAAATAAAAATCAGTAAGAATAGAGAATCCAGTAGAGTAAATCTAAGAATAGGAGCCCTGACCACCATGAATAAGCAAAGACAGGCTTGAGACTTATGATTAATAAGTTTCTCAACTCAGAAGAGAAACAAGAAATTAAATATGTATAAACATGCCATCCTGACCATCAAGTTGAATAATACATCTCTGATACCGCTTCAATAAATTATGGGATTAAACCATGTTATTTGGGTTTCCAACTGTTCCAGTCCAAAGTGAAAATTCTGTCCACAGGAAGACTTTCATACTGAATTAGAGCGATTGAAAACTCTTATAGAGAATGATGAAAGAGGAAAAACAAAATGATTGTTGCATATGCTTCTCAGCAAGATGGTGCACTGTAGAAGCAGGGAGGGGGTAACCGCTGGAGCAAAGGTACTGCTCTCTGTTCCCATGTACGAGGAAAACAACACGTTTGCTCAATCGGGTGGATTGCTAATGTGGTATGGCCCAAAGGAGTACTTACTCATGGCAAAAACACATTTTAAAAACTAAGCAGAAGGAGACAGTTCAGCATCCAGTTTAAGGGTGTACATCTGATGGAATTTTTAGAGACACAGAAAGGCAGTGACGAAGAAACAGGATGCTTCGGCTGGCTGTGTCCTCTTCAGTGTATTTGTGCAAATGATAGTCAGGTGGGTTACGGATTGTCATTTGTGTGTCTAGATAGTGCACAGGGGAATACACAGACAGTACATACGTGGAATAAGCAAATACCTCACTGTACTCTGGGTGCAGGATGGTGGGAACACTGAAGGGGAAATGCCACTGATGAACCAAATGTCTGTGGAAACCACTGTCTAAACCTAAAGAAACCAAGATCTTGGTAAATGACAGCACCAGAGAAACAGAAAGGAAATGACTAAGGAGTGAAAGGCTACGGGTGGGTTTTTACAAACAACTCGAGGCAGAGAAGAGAAAAGGCAGTCTCTTGAGATCTGGGTGGGAATGAAAACAGTACAGAAAGTAGATCTTGAAGTTGATACACTGGATACTTCCTGATGAGAACTGTTATTATTAATATCATTGTCAGAGTATGACACTAAGGACACAGAGAGGGCAAATGGCTAAAACGACTGCCCATGCTGGAATCCCCGCTGAATGCAGTGTTTCTCCCACTTCATGACCCTGGGAGAAACACCTTGATGGGCACTCAGAATCAAGGGCTTTTCTTAATGGGAACAGATCCAGGGGGTGCTGTGGCTCCACACGGATGACTAAGTCTCAGTGGAGCGTGGTGTCCATGCAGTCTGACAGTCATGTTCTGTGTTCTGGACACCTTGCCTTTGTTCTCTCGTGTTTTACAGTGGATCTGAAGAGACAGAAAGACTCCTCACCTCAGGCCTCTTTTTTTTTTCTTTTTTTTCCCCCCAGGCCTCTTATAACCTCCACCAACTGCTTATTTCTTTCTGAGTTGCTTTTCATTGTGTTGGCCAAACACCCAAACGAAACAAAGAAAGCAGACTACTTCTTTCAGTGCACAGTTTCAAAGGCACAGTTCTTGGTGACTGGAATCTGTGTTCCTGGGCCCACAGCTGGGCAGAACAATGCAGTGACAGAGCTGTGTGGAGGATGTCATGGCAGACAGGAAGCAAGTAGAATGGACCTAGAAGGGGCCAGGGCAAGAAGATGTTGCTCCAAGGACATGCTTCCCATGGCATGTTTCTCTCAGTGAGTCCCTATCTCCCACGATTTACCACTCTCACAAATGCTATCATGTTACAAATCAATCCAAGGATGAATTCATTGATTAAGTCAGAGACCTCAAGACCTGATCACTTCCCCAAAGCATGCCAGTTGTTGAAAAAACCAGAATACATGAAGCCATAACAGACAATTTACATTCAACTGTAACAATCTCCAATGGCATCTCTTGGTGGAAAGCCTTTACTGCCTCCATTTGGTCCTAAAGATGGTGTCTGTTCCTCCCACATCAACGACAGTGTCTGCTAATTCAAAGCAAGGAAATAAAAAAAAAAGACGGATGTACACAAGACAGGAAAATCCATGAACAGCACCTTTTGACTTTGGGGGCCAAGAGCTTGACAGTCGGTAAGGTTTGTATCTGGCTTTTCCCCACTGGTCTTAGCTGTGCTCCTTTGACCTCTGTTGTCACAGATACACTATGTCCCTAAGACCTTCAGAGTAATCTCAGTCTATTCTGGTTCCCAGAATCACCTTCCTGTACAGTTGGCATCTTCTTTACCTTAAGCCAAATGAAAAGTGTAGAAAACTCCAAAAGCTGGAAAACATGCCCGCATAAAAAACAATAAACTTAACATATTGTTGAGGTCATCATTTTGAAAAATGATCAATGATTTTTCCCAAGCTCATAAACAGTTTTCTCAAGGGTGGGATCAGTATTGCTCCTCTTTGCTGAGAGCAGAAGAAGAAAGAGGCAAGTGGGGTGGGAGCCGTCTGGTTACAAGTATAAGGTTTGATAATGAGTTACACTTTTGATGTTGTAAAGGCAGCTCTCTTGGACTCTTACCCCTATGCAGAAACCCTTATTCAGTCTGAATTAGAAACACTCACAGGGGTCGACATTTCTTGGACTCTGAAAGAGCAATGAAGAATTGGACAATACAAGTGAGGAGAAATTTCCTTGGAGAAGAAAAAATTCTTTTGGCCTATTAATCCTATCCTGTTTTTTCCCCCTTTAATTTCACCCTGATTTCATAATGTCTATTCTAATATAAAAGAGGTCAGTAAAGTATGAAATCCATTTCTAGAAAAATGAATTAAAACTGTTGCTAGCCAGAGAACATACTTAAATACGATCCACTAAACAGACAAAGCTAGTAAGAGCTGCCTGCAGCCATTAATGGAAACAACCACAGATCTGTCTGGCAAGGAGCATGCAGAGGAAAACCTGAATGAAAAATCACCCACAGGGAAGCACTAGAAAAAATCCTGGAATGTCAAGGTTCTTCTTAGCTAACCTCAAACCTATAAGGGTGCTAATTATAAACATTACGCCTACAACATTAAAAAAACCAGCAATATCAAGATGAGTCACATTAATTACCACAAAAGAGGAGTCTTAAAGCTGATCAGTATGTGAGATCTCACTCTAAGACCCTTTAAAATAATTAGGTTCTCCCGTTCCTGGAGTCTTAAGAGTGAGCACTAATCTTAGGAGGACAGGACTGTAATAATATTAGCTACTATTATCAGTAACTGCATTCATTGCAGCACAGCGTCTTCTCTCTCTTGTTCATCTCCTCTTATGAACAGAATATTAAGAGTACCACATTGTGTGCTTGGATAAGGACATGAACTCGTCACAAGTGGAAGGACTGAATGGCCCACATGGCACCTGAATACACAGAAACTATCGCAGGAGAGTTTTCGGGTTTTGCACAGATGAAATCTAAACATAATGTAACTATAGAATAGCATAGAAGCCATTCACAAACACTCATCTCTGTAGCTTATAATTATGCTAAAGTTTTTGCTGAATGAATTAAATAACTAATAGTCATATGCACTAACACGAGCATCTTCAACCTATCGAGGAGTGTGACAGCTGTGTAAGTACACATGGAATCCTTTTTAGAGCGCCATGGGTAGCAACGGAGATGCTAATAGATCATTCTCCATTCATTATAATATCTAAAACTCTAAACCTTAGGAGGAAGGTTTGAATGTGTAAAAGTGGAAATTGTCAGATTTTGGAATATGAAAGACTCTCACACTGATGACAACAATTTTACTCTGTCAAGGAATCCTAGAGTAACTTCAATGGAAAGAATATTAAATGAATGCATAATATCTGCAAAAAGAACATTGACTAGTATTACTTTCAAGTACACTTAAGTTAATGCCCCTATAAAATACAAGCAGGATCCTATTATTTCTAGAATAATAAGACCTCCAAATGGATTGCAGCCACGATGCCTCTCAGGAGTCTATATGTTGGCAGTTGATCCAAGCAAAGGGTACATGCACAGTTGAACTAGCCTAGGAGAGTGACTTAGAATAAATGCCCCAGACACCAATAACTGACAGGAAGCAGTGTTCTGCAATGGTCCAAAAGATGTGCTCCTGAAAACAAACTGTGAAGCTCCGGAATGTCCTGAAACACAACACTTGGGCTTTAACTGAAAATGACCTGTGCTACCAGGCACAGCGCTTGCCAGGCAGATTAGTAAGGTCTGTTTTCAATCCCTAGGGTTTAATGCTGTGTGTGTGCTCGCATGCATACATTCACGCACATATAACCACATGTGCATGTTCCTGTCTTTGTGTACAATACATGCATGTGGAGACTAGCCCTCAGACATTGTTCCTCAGGCACTATCTACCTTGTTTTTTCAGACAAGTCTCTCAGTGGCTTGGGATTCTCCAAGTAGATTAGACTGGCTGGCCAGCCCCAGGGATCCATCTGCTTGCCTCGCTAATATGTGAACTACAAGTGCATGATAGCATGTCTATATTCCGGGGATTGAACTCAGGTCCTTTCCTCGGATTATTAATTCTTTTTTTTTTTTTTTTTTTTTTTTTTTTTGCTTTTCGAGACAGGGTTTCTCTGTGGCTTTGGAGCCTGTCCTGGAACTAGCTCTGGAGACCAGGCTGGTCTCAAACTCACAGAGATCTGCCTGTCTCTGCCTCCCGAGTGCTGGGATTAAAGGCGTGTGCCACCATCGCCTGGCTTGGATTATTAATTCTTTTTATGTGCTTTGTAATCTTGGCAGAATGGCTTTTCTCTGTTAATATTATTTTTTTCTGTGAAATTAAAATCAAAACCTGTGTCTGTGTAGTAAAAAAACATTCAGAAAATACAAAATGTCCTGGGTATATTCTGTTTCTTTGCCATCACCCCTGTGGAGATGCTCCAAGTGATGGAGGCTCAGGTGTAGATGGCCAAGTCACACATGTCTTCACATGCTTGTATTCACACACGAGTAGACAAGCAGAAACGGGAAACTTCAAATGCTTCCCGGCAATCTGCTTCATCTGCACCATACCAAAACACTCACTCCAGCAGAAACTTTCCATGCAGACTCTGCACAGATCAAATCTGGACGTGACAGACATACACGTGCATGCTATAGGTGCCTGCACATAGTCCACACTAGAAACTGTGTGGCCAGACGTTAAGCCTGACTTTCTAAAAGCACAATCAGTCATGTCAAAAATATACGCAGGCTCTGGGCACATAGTCGGCTTAATGAATTAAAAATATTTTCCCTTTTACAGCTGTGTTTAAATAAAGCAATGAGGAAGCAGCTCAATATGTACGTTCATAAATACATATATGTGCACACACCCAGTGAAAATGTCCTTCATATTTATCTTTCCTCTTTAATCTTCATATCATTACACCAAAAAGCTGCAGCCTGCTGCCTCAAATAGACTTTGATTCATCATCTTCCTGAAGGTGTAAATCAGAGATCCTGCCTCACTCTACAGTATTATGTCCTTGAAAATTCAGTTCCAAAACCCTGGATCAGCTCCTGTCATGCACCAGAGTGTGTGTCTGTATGAACTGCAGTGAACTCAGACCCTTCAGCAGAGAGATACCTGCTGACTGTAACACAACATAAACCATCACCCTGGCCACTGGGATCTCAGTGAAAATCACAAGCACAGGAGGTGACCTCACAGCCTGCCAACAGCTCTCTGCTGTTTCCAGGTAAGCCACTCTCAACTGCCTATGTCTGATGGTTGCACCTGGTAGCAAGGAATGTGTTCATGGGGAAGGTTTTCCGTTCCATAGCATGAGCTGGGCTATCAGTAATAAATAGGGCAATATATAAATAAAGCCAAAGAGGAAGGGATAAAGCACATTTGAATAAGGATGTCAGTCAGAAGGAAAATCATTACAAGATATCTGAGCTTTGCCATGGGTACACTCCATAGCTACAACCATGGGAGTCATCTCCCCTCTCTTGCACAGAAGAAGGGAAATCTTGGGACAATTAGAAGTAATGCCTTTTCATGCGGTGAGTGACTCATTTAAGGGCTTTAACTGCTCTTGATCTTCAATGCTGAAGCTTGAGGGTTGACAGCCAAGAGCAGGTGGAATCTATAAAGAAGGCCAGGGACTATTCCTTAGAGGATTTGGTAGAATAGGCTATTTTTAAAATTCAGCAAGGTGGGTGGTGATTCTCCCTAAAACAAGTTGGAACAGTGAGACCTACTCTTAACCCTGTCCTTGTACTGGAAGTCACTTGGTAGCCTGGGTCATCCCACTGGCTCCCGGGGACTAAAAAGCATGTCTTACCCAACACTGTGATGGTGGTGTAACTCTCCTGCGGGGGGTCGGTGTAGAGTTGGCAGAAGTATCTCCCTTCATCCGAAATTGAGACATTTGTCAGTGACACTTTGAGTTCACTGCTGGAAAAATTCAGCAGCTGAAACCTGCTGTCCTTCAAAGCTGTGAAACAAAACACAGTCGGTAATTGCGCAAAAGATGACGGACAATCTATTTCCCTAACTAGGAAAGAAGAAAAGTCAGAAGGAGAAAAACAGCCGCTGAATGGAAATAATGTAAATCTTTCTGTGTGTATTTGGTGCTATTTTAGGTTTCTGCAGTAGCTCCATGCAGACAAATAACCCTAGTGACCTATCCTAAAGAAACTTATGCAGGGGCAGGCTTTGAGTGCACTGTACAACATGCCAGGCTCTCTCAGGTAGGTACAAGAGGATCAGAAATAAAAGTACTTTTAGAAAGAAAACACAAAGCCAAAAAACAAACAAAAAAACCCAGTGGGTCCAAATTATTAAAGAAAACAGAACAAAAAGTAATTTTAAAGCAAAATATAAAATACCAATTTTTAACATGTTATAGCAGACTATTTAACTTGGATATGAATTGAGGTGGGACAGCCTGATCCAGAGCCTTTAGAGGCCTTAGTCGGTTACAGTTTTTCAGGTATGTCTACCTAACAGTAGGAAACTGTTCAGATCCCAAACAGGAAATTGGAATCACCAAAAAAGCACCATATGTGGGCTTCTTTTTTAATGCAAAAGGTCTTTTTCAATGTCTTATGAATTTTTGCAAAGGTTATTAGTGCCACATGCATGTGAAATTCAGAGTACCACTTTGTGGAGTTGGCTTCTCCTTCCACCATGAGGATTTTGAAAATGGAACTAAGGGGGTCAGGCTTGGTACAAGTACCTCTAGCTTCTAAGCCATGTTATGCACTGGCTTTTCTTTAGTCCCTTTAAATGTTCCTTGTTTATCAACTTTTCCCGACAGAATGACCCAAAATACTGGGAGTGAACAGGAGTCAAGCAGTGGAAAACAGGCTTGGTGGATACTGCTTCACAGTTAGGTGTCCTGCGAAGCCACAGCAACCGTATGAGCCATTGGTGTCATAACCAATTCCGTTTCAAAGGCTGGCCTTTGTTAAATTGCATTTGAATGTATCTCAGCATATGGCTATCTCTGTACCGCAGAGACTACGGTGAAAGATCTGGTCCTGCCATTACAGATATAGATTGCCTTGGAAATGCTAATCTTTAAACCAAACAGATTCCCTATCAGAATGCTATATTTTCCTTGCCTTACCCTATTTGAGTTGTTTGTGTCAGCTAAGTATTTGGGACTCGATTGCAATTCACCTTGAATTACTACAATCAATTCCTATTGCAAAGTAAGACTTTTAAAGGGGACCATTCAAGGTTTCTATTAAGTAGAAAGATTATGATTGCCTGTCTCTTTCTTCTCTCTAAAGAATTGACTAAACTTTAAGCATCTAACATTAAATTAGAAAAAGGTGGCCTTGGCAATCTCTTTATCAAGACAACACAGAGGTAAAAAAGTTGGCATCTACTGCTGCGGGGTGGAAACTTACGCCTGAAGTCCTTGAAGTAAATGGTCTGCCTGTTGGGATTCAGCAGCTGAATCACAGAGTCGTCGCTCTTATTGACTTGGCAGCTGATGGTTGCGACTTCTCCCTCAACCACTGTCACGTCTTTAGTAAAGAGATTCTGTCCATCACCTTCAAAAAAAGGGAGAAAAAGGTCAGACGGAACCCCTCTCACTTGACATTTAGTCAGTGAGACCAACCAAAGAGAAAGAGGTGAGAAATGCACCATAGAAGTAATGTCTGATATGGCCCTAAATACTTTTCTTCCTACTTCACAAAATGAGTCATCAAACTAAGGCAGAGCTTGGTTAGGAAACAACTAAGCTTGGAATTGACATGGCTCAAAGTAAGGGGTACCGAGCTCCCAACTTTCAGTATTTTGAACTGCCAAGCAGTGTGCTGAGATGGAAGCAGAAAGACCAGTGTGGTGATTGTGTGAACGTCGAAGATCTCCCACCTAGAAGAGGGAAAGTGTGGCCAAGCTTAGACCACATACCCTGAGCTAAGCCAAACTCAAGGGTCATTTAACTGGAGCAAGAAAGTTCAAAACATGACCCTGCCTAGTTAGCAGATGCTGACATTCACAACAGACAGGCAGTTCATTTTGTCATGTGGGGGTGTGAGGACCAGACTGGCTCCTTGGGACCTCAATACAACCCAGAAGGTCTCCAGTGGAGAGTCTGACTCAGCTCTCAGAAATACACCTTTATAACTCACCCAAAGTCTCAGGCAGCTCTGAGCTCACCACCCTCCCTGCAGATAACCCCTTCAGCCACTAAAACCTTTCAGAACATGTCAAAATGTGAGAGCTCTCAGATCCACTGATACAAGGCTTAGCTTTAGGGCTGCACTAGTTTGCAGCAACAAGATTTGTTCCAGGAGCCAGAGCATCTCCCAAATGTGTGAAAAGATCCACAGCACAAGGTGGAAGTTCAATTTAGAAGCAGAAGATAAGGAATTGTGAAGTGTTCGATTCTGTGGTTGCCATAGCAGGAGGCAGGGAAGTCTGGGATGCTGTCCCAGCCTCTAGGGAGCTGAGATGGATACAAAAGACACCTAATGTCAATTTCCCAAACAAAAAGTGTGTTTACAGGCGGCAGATGTAACAGCCAGTCCAGAAGGGCGAAGACAGACTGTTCTTACATCAGGAAATTTATCTACCATACCCGAGCCAGTTTCCCATCTACAAAATGGGGGCAGTAATTAAAAGCTATCCCACAGAGTTGTTATAAACACAAAGCACTTCGCACCACGTCTGGCTTCTCAAACTAAACAGATGGTAGCTGCTACTACTATCGTCACGATTACTATCTCCATCACATCATCATCATGGTCATCATCATACCACCACAGTCACCATCATCATCACCATCACCACCATCATCACCGCCATCGCCACATCACCCTCATCATTCTCTAGACCACAAATCCCCACACGTAGTAAGCCATTATCATGTGTGGGAGCAGCAAAGAGAGCAAGAACACCGGCTCAGGGTTCCTGCTCTGCAGGGACTCTCTGTGTAGCCGGCCATGTATCGGCTTAGGGTGTCTTCTTCAGTCCTTGAAGAAATGTTGTCACATCAAGAAGCAAAGGTCAAAGATAAATGCTCCTTTAAAGAATACAAAACTGGAGGCAGCACAAATAGAGGTACAATTAGAATAAGTGGAGGATTTCCACCTGCTATCACACTTCTTCTGAAGGATCCTTTCCTGGCAGGAGTCAGTGGGAAAGTGTGATGGGGTGTCTAAGATGCCTTAAAGCCAAATCAGCCTAGAAATAGACTGGCCCCTGGTAGAGGATTAGAAGAGAGGAAACTAGAAGGACAGGGGGGGGGGATTATTAGAGCTACAGATAAACGAAATGTATGGTGCTTGTAGAGCAAACCCAAATGAAACTTGACCTTGAGCTCCATGACCCTGGAAATGAGGCCTGCTGTGAGGACACAGGCCTGTGTGGCTGGACGGAGTGAGACTGAGCTGGGGAAGCTTGGAGGGTGCAGAACGCTAGCACAGAGTAACAGAGTGGAGAGGGATCGGAAAACACAGTGAACGGCTGTTTCTTGTTTTTCCTGTATGGATTCCGGTAACAAGCACAGAATTCAGAACCCAGCAGGAAGAAATGGGTTATTCCCAGATATGAGCCAAGACTAAGGTGACGGGAATTCCTGCCAATCAGGCCAGCTTTTCAAGGTGGACGTGCTGGCCCTGGGTAAGAGTGAACAGAATACCATATGTTTGCATGGGTAACTTAGTCAGGCATGGAAATTAAGGAAAAATGACACTGAGTAATGAGAGGGTAAAAACGATGCTAAAGACAGGGGCTTGCCTTTAGGGGGCGGACTACCAAATAGGATCTTCTTGGGACAGGTAGGGATTTCTTCTACACGTGCAGAGGCTGCCTGCTGAGGGGCACCAGTCCCTTTGGATACTAACTAAAGCTCCTGAGACTTAAAGCTGCCTCTAATTCTGCCCTGTTCTAATAAGACGGTTCCTGTGGAAATAATGATTGGCTTTAACTTTAGTTCTACATGGAAGTTCTCCGGCACTGCAGAATATTGTGAGAGGAGGCTACTATAACTATAGTAGCCTTTGTGTTGACAGTTAGGAGCCAAGGAGTGAAGCACGGTTTTGGGTTTTAAGAACAAAGATAGTGACAAAATCAAAGATGTTTTGTTTTTGTTTCTGTTTCCTTTTTATAACACAATCCATACATTCCTACTTACTACTTAAAATGGGGTACTAAATGACCGGTCCATTTATCAAGTCACTCAGGTAAACTTTTTGCCTTAGCTGTGCTAAACTGCAAATCCATGGTGATGCTGTCAACATCATGGAGTTATTATTTTTTAATTATTAAGGCCAATATCCAGTGTCTAAGAAAAAAAGTCAACTTCTAATATGGTTGTAGTACCAATACAGGAAATTATGTGATAATGAAATATTTGGCTGAAAGACATCAAAGTGCTTTGGCTGATGGTGGTGGCCCAAGAATGTCCTTTTTTAAAAAAAAATCACCCATAAATTATACAGGTCAGCTGGATGGCAGTTATATTAAACAGAGCCCCATACTTTGAGGCACCATAGATGGCTGCAATGGGATAATAATGACCTATTTATTTGAGGCAAAGGACTTGAGTGACAGCAAGGAAAATACAGTATGTGTGTCAGTACTCTACTGCCTGAAGCCTTTATGTAAAAATGATTGCTGCTCACATCCTCCAATATGTCTTCCAACAGGAAGAGTACACACTATGACTTGATAAATTTCCCCCTTGAAATGAATGTTGAGACAATTAGGTTGTCACAAAATGCAATCTCATGTGTAACAGGAGAGAAACACGAAACTTGGGTATCTTCCTTAAAGAATGCATTTTAAAACCCTTCAGAGTTTTCTAAAACTCAATTAGCTGACATACTGTCAAGGCAGGAACAGTATGTGTTCTGGGGGAAAAGAAATCAAACAGGTACAAATATCTAGCCATTAAATGAAGCTGTTAACAGCCAGGTAATTTATTTCAAGGGTGGAGCAGTGGCTGGCATGTGTAGACATTTTCGACCGCTAATTGGTGTATTTGGATGAAGTTTGGGAGACAGAATCAAACTGAATTTTAATTTAGACCAGAAGTTGTTATGTTATAGGGGTGCTTCCTGTAACTTTCAGGGTTTCTGTTGTCTATTTTTCTTCACATAGTTCTACTTACTTATTCCTGTGTGCATGTGGAAGCCAGAGGACTTTCTGGAGTCAGTTATTTTCTTCCACCATGTAGGTTCCAGGGATCAAATTGCTCAGGCTTGGCAGTAGACACCTCATCATGATAGCCCTGTAGTTTGTTCTTCCATAAAGAGTCTTGCTGTGTGCCCTTGAATGGTCTGCTACGAGCTACGTAGCACCGGCTATCCTCAAATTTATGGCAATTTTCCTCCTTTATACTTAAGGGTGCTGGGATTATAAACATGCCCTACCACACCTGGCTAACTTTCAGAGTTGCTCTGTAATTCCTAAAAACAAAGACCTGAACCAAAGAGAGCCCTTCATTCATGAGCAAGCATCCTCCATCAAACCAGACACTTCTTGGGCAGTTACAGTGACAAGAAAGCTTACTGTTTACAAAAGGTAAAACTTCCTTTGATGACTACCAGTGACCCTTATAGCAGCTTGACAGGGCTGGTGTTGGGACATAAGTTCTTTATTAGCGGTTGGCAATTAATATAATTTCTCAGAGACTTTTCTAAACATCATTTTGTTAAATACTCCCTTTAGGTGGCATTGTACAAAATGCTAGACTCCGTCCCTGTCCATTTAATCAGCAACCTATCCATTCTTACAGAAGTGACAAGTGACAGGATCTCAAAGCCAGAGGTGGGAAGTGAGAAATAGGAAGAAGAATTGAGGTGTTCCCAGTGCAGGGCGGGGCGCTAGCTGCTTCCCCCTTCCCAGACTTCTGGTGTTTTCAGTATTTCTACCATAAAGATTGAACTGCAGAGCCTGGTTTGGGGAAGTTGCCTGGTGTGGTTCAGCGAAGTGGCTGAGCTGAGGGGTGTTAGAACCTGCTTTGGGGAGACAACTCCCTCCCTACTGCCCGGCTTACCAGCCAACATCTCAGGACTGGTTGCTAAGGTCCCTCTGGCTCTGCTTTGAAAATTTTACTTGTTTTGAAAGAGGGTTATTTCCTTATGAGCAACTTGTGAATTTTTTTTATTCCCGTAATTTATCCTGAGCACAATTACACACTTCAAGATGAGAGAGAGGCCGTCCTGAATGCAAAATACCTGTTTACTACTGCCTCCCCCTTCAGCACTTAGCACAGTCTGCCCCCAGAGAAAGCCTTTATTACCAGGGCACAGTGGGCATTTGCCAATGCTCAGAGCTCTCGCCCTTGCTGCCCGGCTGTTAACAAATAAAACAATAAAACAAATAAAACTGGGGGCGTCTTCCCTGTTCAAGCACATAACAAAAGGACAAGTCACAGTTAAACCAGATTTCAGCGAATGCTATGGCAGCTATGGAAACTCCCACCTACCCCCACACACAGAGGGGCACCACGACACTTAACTGAGAGGGTGGTTTGCACAAAGAAGCGACACTTAAGTCCCCTGGCCTTCTCCCTCAGCAAGTACATCATATTAGAGAA